CTTCTGACACTTTCTATAATCACCGTTCCCAATACTCATTTCTATCACAATTAAATGTCTATTTTACAATGGTAGACAGGGAAAACCAATGCCCAGAAGTTGTCAAACACCTAAACATTTCTTCCCCTGCTTTACCCATTAACTTAATCCATGTATCCCAGAACACTGTTGTTCCAGGGTTGTGTAAAACTCACTGTTTACCTCGATCCCATTTAGTCCATGCATTCTTCCCTACCTCTTTCCTTTAAATCTACTGATTTTTAATTTATATAAAATTTTAGACTTATGCTCAGTTCAGTTATTGTAAAACTTAAGTATTTTTGGAACAGCTTGGTTATATATACATTTACTTTTTCAGTTACAAATTTTATGGAATGTCAATACAATTCTATATTTCTAATCAAAATATAGCACCTGAATTGAGTGCTTAGTATGAAGTAAAATACCTCAAGTTTTTTATATTAATCACATGTTGAAATGATACTTCTTAATTTTACTTTTTACTGTGATTACTAGAAGATTTTTAATTACATATATTTCTGTTGGGTAGTACTGATCTGGACATGGCATATCTTATTTAAGAACAGTGGTGACAGTCAGTGATTTTTTTCTTCTTAGCTATATCAGGGAGTTCTCAGTAAATTGCAAGCCTTTCTTGTTGTACTTGTATTAAGTTGTTGAATGTATGTTAGTGTACTCTTAGGTACTCACCAACTGCCTGCTGATGGGTGTGGTCCAGAGAAGAGCTTGTCTACCATTCTCTGTTTGCTGTTCATGTAGTTAAGTTCAGGGTGAATTTAACTGATATTGGTTGTTGCTGTTGATCAGGTGTATAGCAGGTAATGTTAACTCTGGCCAGTTGGTGGAGCTAAAGAGGCTGTGGTTGTTCTGAATAGCTACAGTTGCTGTTCCTGTCAGGTGAGGCAAGAAGAGAAAATACTTCACAAGAGAAAAGGGAAATCACAACATCAACAAAAAACAAACCAGCAAACAACAGCAGAAAATAAAGTGATATGCTTTTGCGCCATCTACTGGCCTCTTGCCTTTAAAGCCACCTGAGAAATTTCAAGATGGTCCCAGTGTGTCTCTCTGACCTATAACCAGGTTTTCTTTTTCCTTTTTTCCCCCTTACTCTACATGGCTCCTAGTGAGAGCTAGCCCAGGGCTGGCCAGGGCCAACTTTGCAAATTTGGAGCAGGGCCTGCCAGAAAGGGGGGCTGTTGCTTGCTGTGTTGTTCTCTTTCAATTGTGTACACCATCACCAGGTCCCTGTAGTTCTGCCCACCTGGAAAGGGGAACTTCCCTGGGGGTCTGTGCTCATAGTGATCTTGCCTCTGGTCATCAGGGGAATACAAAGACCCAGAAAATAAAGAGTGGAAAAAAAAAAATCACACCTTGGTCTCTATGTGAGTCATAGGCAGGCTATGGCAACACAAATGTTTTTTGTCTCTTAATGTGCTCACACACTGAAAATGACTGCAGTGGGTCCCGAAGGCTGCCCCAAATCAGAAGTCACCTCCTTTCTTGCCATCTGTTCACCTTTCTCTCCTGGTAAGCACTCGATCGACTTATTTATCTCTTTATTGAAGCTCAGAGTTCCAGTATCATCATCTATATCTGTCTTGTCCAGTTTGCTGCAGAGGGTCCATACAGTTTTCTGCCTAGTCCGCCATCTTGCCCCGCTTCCTGACCAATTCCTCCCATGCCATTCTTATAGCTTATCTTTGCCAAGTATCATGTGTATCTCTATTACACTGCCTGTTTTATTCTGCAGATTGTCATTTAATTAATAGGAAGGAGCTTCAAAATGTTCATGGAAAATGAAATAAAGAGATAATGAAATTTTTCCATGAAATTTTTGAAGCTTCCTCGTATACCTTAAATTGGAATAATTGGCAAGCATACTATTTTTATTTTATTTTAGATGAATAAACATGCTAGATAATCTGTTCTCATACTTTTATATTGTTTATAATCTTTAGCTTAAATTTAATAAAAATTTATGCTCTTTGAAAGTTTAATTTTACCTGTTATTGTATCAAAAATTATTGTCTAAAATTTCAGTGCCATCTGTAGAGATAGACTGAATCACTCATCTTGTTTAGGATATAAAGATCAAGAATGCAGACTCTTGGAAAAGTTTAGGTAAACCAGTCAAAACATCAAGTGTACTGAAATCAACAGATGAGCTTTTCAACCAATTTAGAAAAGCAGCAATAGAAAAGGAAGTTAAAGCTCGAACACAGGAACTGATACAGAAGCATCTGTATCAGAAGCAACTGATACAGAAGCATCTGGAACAGAATTCAAAGGAACTTAAAGTATCTCAAGAAAATCAGAGGTATGCACTTTACTAGATTAAAGGAGGTCTTGGGAAGTGTAGCCATTTATATCAACTATATTAAATTTGTCAAGAGACTGTGATTCAGCTACTCAGTAGTAGTTGGTATTGTTGTTAAGTGCCGTCAAGTCGGTTCTGACCCATAGCAACCCTGAACAGGGTTTCCGAGGCTGTAAATCTTTATGGGAGCAGAAAGCCTCATCTTTCTCCCGCGGAGCAGCTGGTAGTTTCGAACTGCCGACCTTGCGGTTCACAGCACCATTCATAACCACTACGCTACCAGAGCTCCTTACTTAGTAGTACAAAGAGCATATTATAATGACTTAAAAGAATACATTTTTATTGACCTTTTTCTAAGTTGTAATTTCAACTTTGAAGAAGATAGAAATAATCAGGGATTGCTAACTACAAAGTCAGTGGTTCAAACCCATCAAGTGACTGTGTGTGAGAGAGAGAGAGATGAGGCTTTTTGATCCTGTAGAGATTTATAACCCTGGAAACCCTATACAGGGTTGCTATTAGTCAAATGGACTCAGTGACAGTGGCAGGGGCCATGTTTATAACCGTCAGTGTGTTTGACTCCACTGTTGTGTCTGTTAAGTCAGTCTGTCTCTTTAAGGGTTTCTCTAACTTTTGCAGCCCCTCTACCAAACACGATGTCCTTTTCTAGTGACCAATTTGTAAAAATACCATTATTTGACAGAAATATCTTAATGTTGTTTAATATGTAAAAAGGAAGTGATATGCCTCTGTCACAGATTTCCAAATATTTTTTTCTGTGTTAATATAGATTACCCTATGTAAAGTTTGATACTTAAAATGTCATAATGTGTCAGAATAGATGTCTAGAACATTGCTTTATGTTTGTCATTGACTAGAACATATTTTTATAATAAAAACTTTCATGGGACTTGAAGCCTACTTTGAGCTGTGCTTTGTTTCTTTAAGGAACCATAGTGAAGGCTTGACTCTAAAATCTTTTTCAAATAAATTGCAAAACAAATGTCATGGAGAAGAACAGAAAGAACACCAGCAGTCATTGGAAACTCAAGATAAATGTGAATTCTGGCTTCTGAAAGATCGTAATTTAGCAAGGGAAAGAGAGCAAGAGCGGAGGAGGAGAGAAGCAGTAAGTGAACTTCTGTTTACTAAAGCTAACAGAGGAAGGATTTAATAGAGCAATGATTCTTTTTATATTAAAAGAGAGATTCAGGGTGGCCTTTCAGTAATAGTAGTTACCTTTTTAGTGAGGCTTTAAAATCTGAGCCCAAAATAAATAGTTGAGGTAGTCAAAAGAAGCAAATAATAGTGTAATAAGTTATACAGCATCAGTCTAGGATCTATTGCACTGTCTGGGCTCAAATACTGTTCAAATACTACCATTTACTCGGGTACATACCGAAGAGTAACCTACTGTTCATTTATGTTCATGTTCATTCACGTTCTTCTTAATACCCACTTCATCAACATTGAGAATTTTCTCTCTTACTTAGAAAGAGGCCAACCTTGTTCTTAGTGTTCTTGTATGTTTTAGTTTTTACTTACCATACAAAGTGTTTTAAGAAAAGTCAAGTCGTATTTGAGCAGAAATAAAAAATTATGAATGTATATTAGGAATTGTATTCATTTTGTACCACCCATTATAAGATTTCATAATAATGTTTATATAGTGTACCTAAGGCATCAAAATGTTAAGTAACATTTGTTTAAAATTTTACCTTTTTTTACAGATGGCTGGTACCATTGATATGACCCTTCAAAGCGACATCATGACCATGTTTGAAAACAACTTTTATTAAAACTCCATTTTCTAATTATCCATCAACCCTAAATGAAATAAGATTATAAAATGTAGATGACAAAATGATTGCTTTCAGACATCAAGATACCATTCTTATACTGTATTTTGACTGCTCTAAAATGATTAAACAATTTTCAGCTACATTTTTAAATAGCTATATGTTCATTTTTTAATGACATAATTTATAGGCCCTTTTATAATTTTGATCCCAAAATATTGAATAAATTCCCAGATGTTACTCATTCTATAAATATGTATCTATGTATTGTAGACCTTGTTCTAAGTAATGAAATTCCAAAAAACGATAGTCCCCACTTGTCTAAAAATGAATATGAAGAGGCATATCAAAAGTAAAGAGAGACTTAGTTCCTGTTGAGTTTTTGAATAAAATTTTGGCCTGCTTTCAAAAATATTTAGATCTTCTAGCAAATAATACTTGGATCCCTTGAGTGTTCATTTTTTGTAAGATTTTATGCTAGTTGTATATTCAAAATATTTAAATTTAAATTAAAGACAGTATTCCCCATGATTTCAAAGATAGTAAATTTAAGGCAAAATAACTACCAGTAAATATTATAGGTAAGTTTCTATAGGAAGTTATAAGATATTTCTTAATATGCATATATGATAGTAATGAGTGTTTAAATATTCTGTAAAATATTGATCTTATGTTAAAATTATGTATATATCATGTTTATCAGCTGTATGTATTTTTAAATTTTGAAATCTTGGCGTGTAACATATGTTTCAGGCATAATTCTCATTCCATCTAAATTTAGAGTCTCTTTATACATTTGTACATATATATGTATATATAGAGAGAGCATTTTCTTGGTTTCATTTATATTTATAATCAATATGATAAATTTCTAAAATATCTTTTAAACTTTCATCCATTTAAAAAATATAATGAACTAGTGACTAAATGGTGCTGTTACTATGGAGTAGAACCAGATTTAAAGTCACTTAATTAAGTAAGTAAATGAATTAAAGTGAACCGTTCTTCCTATTCACATGTATATTTTAATGAAGAAATCAATACAAGCATACCTCAGCAATATTGTGGGTTGGTTTTAGATCACTGCAATAAAGTTAATATCATAATAAAGTGAGTTGCATGAATTTTTTGGTTTCCTAGTGCATATAAAGTTATGTTTATTGTCTATACTGTAGTCTATTGAGTATATAGTAGCATTCTGAAAAAGTTCCAAATATTGTGAGAATTACCAAAATTTGACACAGAGACATGAAGTGAGCACATGCTGTTGGAAAATGGACTCCAATATCTAATGAGATATCAGGGATACATAGTGGTCATCTAGGTGATGAGATTATAAGTGTATCATTTTCTTAGACATCTCAGTATATCCAGGCTCTTTTTTTGTTTTTATTGTTTTATCGTGAATTATGTGATGGTTTACATGGGAGAACATTAGTTTTACATTCATCCTATCGTATATTGTTTCATTGCCATGGTTAAAATCCCCTCCCTGCATCATCAACCAGGCAAAGGGTATAGCCTGAAAGCCTTTCCCTCTCTGTGTCTAAAGTCCCCAACTGCTCCATCTCTCCAAGTCATCGTCTCTGCCTCCATCTCAGGCATCACTGCTTCTCTGGGTAGGCGCCTGCTCTCTGCTCTTCTCCCTTGATGGTTCAGGTTCTTTTTTAATATTACATATGTACTACTTTTAAATAAGGAAAAAATTCTATTTTGAAGCGAAAGAATGAAAATACTAAATAAGAATTTGCTTCTGTCAGAAACACAGGATATATCAAATTTCTCAACAACTGCCTTTTAATAACTAGTAAAGCCTAGTAGTTATTTATAGTTAGTTATA